GGTATAACTCAATGGTAGAGCATTTACATATCCTGTGTGAGGCACTGGGTTCCATCCCAAGCACTGAAAAAAAAATTATTGCAATGATCCTGATCCTATCTCCTCAGAAGAGATTATGAAATGTTTAAGATAGCATGTTAGTGACAGAGAAGCAAAGAAGGGAACAGGTTTGAGAAGTGTATGCCAAGCTTTAGTGTAAATTTCATATATCTAAATTAATAAAAGTGTACAGTCTTAAACATAATGATGAAACCTATATTTCTCTGAATTGGAAAAAATTCCATTTACATTGAATTATCAATTTGATGAGGATTTCCTTTTATTTTGTTCTTGTCAATTAATCAAATTTAGTAATTTTTAATATTCTGGTTTGATCTTAGAAGGATGAAGGTAAAGAAGGAATTTATTAAATCTGAATCTAATATCCTTCAAAAAAGTAAAATCTTCCATCATAATCACCTTTAGTCCTAAAAGGTGAAATTAAAATCTAGATAAGCATCATACAAAATATTCATTTTTAAAGTGATTTTAATTGTGCATTATAGTTATACATAATAGCGGGGCTCATTTTGACATACTTAATACATGCATAGAATTTAACTTGCTGCATTTTAATCCCCAGTGCTTCCTCTTTCTCTCCCCTAGTCATATTCTCCTTCCTTTACTCTATTGGTCTTCTATTTGTTTATTGTTTTTTTTTAAATTGATGCTTTACATGTAAAGGTGGAATTCACTGTTGTACATTTATACTTATACATGGTGTTATTTTATAAATTCATTTATTTCCTCCCTTTTCCATTTTTTCTCCCTTCCCCTCAATCTCCTTCCTCTATGCCACTGATCTTCCTTCTATGTTTGTGAGATCCAATCCTCCACCAAGTTATGGAACCAGTCCAGGTGCCTGTCAACAAATGATCAGATCAAGAAAAGGTGGTGTGTCACACACACACACACACACACACACACACACACACACACACAATGGAGTTGTGCCACAGAGAAGAATGAAATTATGGCTTTGCCAATAAATGGAAGGAACTGGAGATTACCATCTAAGACAGACTTAGAAAAGTCAAGGGTCAAATGTTTTCTCTCAAATGTAGAAACCGCAGCAAAGTAAGGGAGAAAATTAATATTCTTGTTTTTCAATTCCTAAACAGGAAACTAAACACACTTCAGAAATTACTACACAGAGATTATCAAGTAATGATAGGGAATCTAAAATATCTTAATAAGATTTCTCATTTGAAGAAGAGGACGCTCAAGTGACCTACAAAGGTCACAAATTCACATGCTGGTCTGTGAGTTCCGGCTCCTTCTAGAGTTCACCTTCCATAGTCATATGCATGGTGCTGTCTCCTGGGAAGGAATTATTCCTGTTCTTGTACGATTCTCAATTCTTAGTTGTGGGGCACATTCCTGTGCATGGTAAGTTTGGCAGCATTACTGGCTTGATTCCACCAGGTACCAGTAATACCCACCCTTGCCCCTCCCATTATTGTAACAACCCAACCAAAAACTGTTTCCAGACATTATAAAATACTCCCAGCGGGACAAAAGACACCCTTTTAGTCAACTATTCTGAAGCCTCTCGATCCCTAAAATGCCATGAACGTTAGCCAAAGGAGGAAGAATTCAAAAAACTTTGCACAATTTCTCATGAAAATTCTAAATCTCTTTTATTCTTTCCACAATTTGTCTAACCATTTTCTCAAAAAGTTCAGCACCCATTTGCCTGTTTCCCATTATGGCAAGTCTTCCCTCTGCTCCCTGTCTACCCCTTGTTATTCCCAGGTCTGGGAAACTGTGTTCCCAGGCTCTTTTGTCTTCTGGCTTCCATTGGAGTGCAGCCAGTGGGAGTTCTGGCAAAAGCTGTGAGTGGGGAAGAGGGAAGAAGCCAGGGCACTGCGCGCTCTCTCTCCTCTCTTCCTTTGGGAATATCTGCTCAGTTCCCATCCTGGCTCCTACTTCTATTAGGCAAGTCCTTTCACTGAGGTCCCTGCCATGGCCCTATCTCCCACCAGGTGGCTCTGGATCCTGGGCTCTCATAGCACTTCAGATTCTCCAGACTTAAGGGTGGTAGCAACTTCCTATTTTGCTAATCTCTGGTTTACCTCACCAACCCATTTGGCTTCTCACTTTTTCCAACACCTGTGTAAGAAGTTGCTATAGAATATGAGTTGTGTTTCCCTAAAATCCATATATTGAAGCCTACCCCTACTGTGGAAGAATTTGGAACAAAGAAGTAATTAATTTTAAATAAGGTCATAAGAATGGGATCTTGAGTTGATAGGATTACTATCCTTATAAGAGGACACCCTAGAGCATGCTCTCTCCCCTCCTTCCTTGTATGGGGACACAGCAAGGAGTTGTCTATGAACCAGAAAAAAAAAAAAAAAAAGCCTCATCAGAAGCTGAATTTTCCTCCACCCTGATTTTGGAATTGTCAGCCTTTAAAATTCTACAGAAAAAAAAAAAATTCTGTTGTTTAAGCCAGTCAGTCAGCTGAGACTGTGTTCTAGCCACTCAATCTGACAGGACCTTGCATTAAAGTTTCATTGTTTGAAATGGCCAGAAGATTTCTGTTTCCTGCCAATGCCAACTGGCAAAGTTCTTTATACCATCGATACCATGTAATATTTATTGAGCTTCTAATGTGTCTGACATTGTGCAAAGGTAAATTTCTTTCTTTTTTTTAAATTTTAAATTTTTATTTATTTATTTATTTATCTATCTATCTATCTATTTATTTATTTATTTATTAGTTTTCGGCAGACACAACATCTTTGTTTGTATGTGCTGCTGAGGATCGAACCCAGGCTGCACGCATGCCAGGCGAGCGCGCTACCGCTTGAGCCACATCCCCAGCCCGCAAAGGTAAATTTCTTACTCTCAACATTATAAGGCAGACAAAATGATAAGACATAAGAATCACAGGTTTTGAGTCACTTAGACTGAATCACAACTCCTTCCCTTATTAAGGGAAAAGTGCAGTATCTAAGAAAAGTGCATCTCTTCATGCCTTGATTTCCTTGTCTCTAAAATGGGTCTCATAATAGCACTAATGTAAGAGGTTTATTCTAATGTGTCTGACATTGTGCAAAGGTAAAAGAGTTGTTCCAAGTTCTTAGAATACTTTTAAACATATAGAAGCTCTCAGTACATATTATTTTAACTTCAATTTACAGAGTGCCAATTATAATTGTGCCAAGTGCTGTGCACTGAAGACATAAACACAGATAAGAAACAATCTTCAAGGAGTTTCATTATATTAGAGGCAAACACATATAAACAGGTAATTATAACAAAATACAGCAATTTTATTGACAGGTAGATTATGGGAAAGCCAACATAATCAGCAATCAAGATTTAAAGCTTTCTTAAGTTTTAAATACCAGTTCAGCCAGTTACTGAGTCTGGGTAAGTTACCTAACTTCTCTAAGCCTCAATGTTCTCACCTGCAAAATGGGGATAATAACAGTATTTATGTCATAAGGATGTGATGAGAAGAAATTAGGTCATAAAAACAGTTTCTGGTCTAGTTCCTGGAAGGTAGAATGTGATCATGGAAGCATTGTTATCTTTCATGATTAATAAAGAAGCACAGAAGAGAGGTCCTAACTCAGCAGGGCTCCCCCATATTACCTAGTTCTTGGCCATCACTCTAACCTGTTTGAGAATAACCCCTTAACATTTCACTTTTCTAGTATGAGTATAAATTATTACAACCACATTAGAAAATTTCATAGCAGAATATATTAAAACTAAACACATATAAAAAACAGTTCCACTCTTCATATATATCCAGAAATGCATATATGTATCAGAGGACATGTAAAAAGTGTTAATAGAAGCTTTATTCATAATAGAGCAACCAAATGCCCAACAACATAAAAATGGATAAATATATTGTGATGTATTCAGATACAATGGAATATTACACATAGCAATGAGAATAAACTATAGGTACATGCAATAATATAGATGAGTCTCACAGACAAAATGCTGAGCAAAACAATCCAGAGTGCATGATTTATTATTTCCTTTAGAGGAGGTTTAAGACAAGGCAGTATGAATCTATAGTAATGGTCCTCAGAAGAGTAGTTACTGTGCGGAAGCTATTTTCTAAGAGAAGGAGTATATAGATATGTTTACCAACCATCTCTTAAAATAATAACAATAGGAGCCCAAATGTTATAGCATTTGCCAATTTTCTTGGTGTTAATACTCCCATTATGGTGGATTACGAGTTAACAAGGTGATGGCACTGAACCCAGACTTATTCAGACTTGGAGTACATATACGTACAATCTGCTCGAGCAAGTTGGCATAAGCCAGCTTCAGCACACCACTTGGATGTGGCATGAAGGAGAAGATGGGCTGTAAAAGTTTCACATCTCTATCTGGATGGTGTCTACACAGGTATATACCTATTCACAGAGGTATGCACTTAAGATTCATTTATATACTATATATATTAAACATAATATATATACTATACGTCAATAACAAGTAAATTTTAAGAGTATCTCTGAGATCTTGAAAGAAAAGTATTTAAAACCGATCTACATGGGAGGAAGATCCAGAAAGATTCCAGAGATTCAACGGTTGGGAGGGGAGCTCTCAGTTCTTGTCCCCACAATGTAGGCAGCAAAAGAGAGGCACTATTAGCAGTCAGTGACACATAGCAGAAAAGTGGTAGCAACTCAGCCAGAACACTCTCAATCATTTTAACTCCCAACTTAGTTCAATTTTGTCACTAATGCCTGCTGCAGATCACAAGGGTCTTGTTTCTCTGGCCCCTGTCACTTGGAAATGAAGGTTATTCCACTGGGTGGCTCCAGATGAACATTATAAGCATAGAGCCACCTGAAACCATGATCAGACACCCCAAAAAGCACCAACTAATGTAATTTTTATTTTGAGTAAAAATACATATTAATATCATTTATCTTATGACCTTAAAATCTTAAATGTATTCAATAAGTATGGAAGACATCTATAGTTAAAGGAGGCATTTTAGTAAGACAGCTGCTCTGGACATATACAACACTCATATATTTAAAGTCACAAAGCCAAAGTAAAATTGCAAAAGGGTTTGAACTGATGGTAGCTTATCATATCCATGAACAAATTCATCTTTTTTCAATCTGGCAAATCAGGATCATAGAAAACACCATACCAAGTACCTAGAGAATAAAAGAAGAGATGGATGTGAAATTTTAAGGCAAAATTCTAGAGACATTATTAAATAAGCAGAAAGAACATTATATTTGAAAAAATTCTGTCTTACTGAATCTCTGGGGAAATTAGACTCTAATGGGACAGGAGACTACTAAGAAAGTTCTGAGGTTTTGTTCTTGTCTTAATCAGGAGTTTCTACTATTCAGTCTTCAACAGCCCTATTTAGTTGTGCAGTAGTAACTACCACCAAAGGACCCCTTCCCCTTTCTCCAACATTCATGTCTTTCTGTAAAGCATTTTCCCTGTAACTTTGGGACCTGAGGCCTAAATATACCTATTGCTTACATAAAAAAAAAAAAGCTAGGGTCATCTGGTTTGGATTATCTGCACAAAAATCAAGAAGTCTAGAATTTCTCTCGCCATAATTTTAGGCATTGCCTAGAAGAAGAAAAATGAAGAAACTTTAAAAAAAAATCCTAAAGATTTTTTTAGGGAGAATCACTTAATTCAGGAATTTCCTTTGAAGTGCCAAAATACAGCTGAAAATATGGGGCATAATTTCCATCTCATTATCTCTCCCAAGAATAAGGGACCCCAAAATTTGCTCTAAATTGGTGACTTGCATGTGGTGGCTTTGATGTAGAAATGACAGAAAGGACCTATGCGCATTGCAAATGGTACACTTTCTCCCTACCAGTTCCCTCTGAAGGGTAGCAGCCTGGAGGGCAAGGTGCCCTTATGCTGAGTCATCTCAAACACTCCTACTGTGCATGCGACTTTTTGCTAACTAATACCTTAGTGGAAATGTAATTCAAAGGAGAACGGCTGCCTGGTATTTCTTCCTTCTTAGAAAGAAAACAGACATAAATTCTCTGAAGTAATGATTTTCAATGAGAATGTCATAAAATTCAGGACTAAATTCTTTTACCTGATCCCAAACTTTGAAGTCTGGAGGACAAGGATGTTTCTTGCATTTCACTGTCTCTGTAAAGAACTTTTATGATCTTTCCAAACAAATAGCAAATAAAAGAGATCCATCATTTTATACTGTATGCTCAGACTCATGACAAACTTCCCAAGAGGTATGCATAGGTTCCCATGTTCTGAAGCAAGCTAACCACTGTGATAAAATCATCATTTTTCTTTTAACCACTCTCTTCTTAGGACCTCCTATCAGGATAACTTTCAACGTGATGACTGACAGTTTTCAATGGCTTTTTATTTTTTTAAATGAAACTGAAGAAAAAAGTGTTAATCTTTTTTTCTGGGCTTATAAATTGCTGTTATCATTTTTAAGGGGAGAGATAATCTGGTTATTTAAATCTAATGAGAAATTTTAAAAAAAATATTCAGGGATAATTTTTTAATACAATAAAGCATTCTTTATAGATTCCTAGCATCCAATCTGAGAAGAACTCCTACTAGGGTATATTGTCTTAACAAAGTCTTTTATAATCCATGACCCACCCCCTCAAATTCTATGCAGAAGTCTAAATATGGGAAGGTTTTGGCTGTTTGTCCCCATATTTCCCCATGGAAATGGTCTGAATTTATTTTCTGCAGGGAGATAATTGCTTTGTTTCATTTAAAAGATTTAACAGAAGAAAATTTCTATGCATTTTTGTGTCTTTTTAAATTTGAATTTGAAAAACAGAGAAGCAGGAGGCAGTGCACCTAAATGTTAGGCAATTAGTCCTAATGACTAAGAACATAGGACATTTTAGGGCACTTTTTTTTTTTTTTACAGACTGGATAACAAAAGGCTATTTTTAAAGCTTCTTTTTTAATAAAACGGAGAAAGCATAAAAATGGTTTTTGTTTTCTTTAAAACAAAAGAGGGAAGGCAGGCTTTAGATTGAGAAACTACACAAAATGACAATATCACAAAAGAGTTGCAAAACGTTCTTTGAATCAAACATTTGGCATATTTATATATGATAGCACCATATATAAACTCTGTTATGGTTTGGATGTAAGATGTTTCCCAAAAGCTCATGTGTCAGAAAAATGCAAGAAAATTCAGAGAAGAAATGATTGGGTTGTGAAAACCTTAACCCAATCAGTGAATTAATCCCAATGAGAATAACTGAATGGTAACTGGAAGAGGTGGGCATTGGGGGCGTGACCTTGTATCTGACTAGTGGAGTCTCTCTGTTTTCTGATCATCATGTGAGCTGCTTTCTGTCTGCCATACCCTCTGCCATGATGTTCATCCTCACCCTGAGCCGGAAGGAATGGAGTCTGCTGTCTATGGACTGATATCTCTAAAACTGTGAGCCCCTAAATAAACTTTTCCTGCCATACAGTTGTTCTGTTTGGGTCCTTTGAGTCACAGCAGCAAAAAAGCTGACTAAAACTCTATACCTATAAGTTACTATATTGAAGGTTTTTATTAAGGTATTTTCCTGTACAGAAAAACCCATGAAATATCTAAACATGTAACAAGTACATGGATTATACCAATTTCATAAAATATTGAAATGCTCTCTTCCTCTTGTAATTTTATTTTTCCACTAGATGCATCTAAAGTCTTGGCAATGCTTTGGATATGGGAGACACCAATCTTCACAATTGACTATGTCCATATTTTATTTATCTATTTTTGGCTTTGCTTTCAAGAAGCTTCTTAAAATCATCTGTGACTTGTAGCCATTCATAGTCAATTGTCTGAAGTTGAATCTAACATGAAATTTAATAATAGGGCCAATATTCAATATTCAATACCTCATTATAAGCCTATGCGCCCAATCATTCATTCATGCATTTATTCATTGACCTACTTTTGGTGCTAGTATTGAACTCAGGGCCTGGCACATGTTAGGCATATGCTCTACCATCAAGCAACACCCCAGTCCTCAATCATGCATTTAATTCTATTCTATTAAGATATATGTGCATGTTGCTGCTTGTTTATACAAGTGTGAGTATCAATGTGTCTTCACTCACCTCTATGGACATTAGCTTTTATTTCTAAATTAACATAAACTCAGAAAATAGAGCAAGGAAACCAAAGGCAGAATCACAAGAAATAGACCTAATGCATATTGCCACTTGACTTTGATTACACATCAGACAGGAATAAAGAGAGCCATATCCTACAATAGAGGATGCCTCACGTTTAGATCTATTCATTTGCTTTTAATAGTCAACAGTCCAATTTGCTGCTAATAATACCTACCCTTTGTCTAAAGTTGGCTGAGAAATTCTACCTATAACCTAAATGACCATGTAAAACACTAAATCGCTTTAATCTCCATTAAAATTCCTATTGGACAATGATGTGGCATGGGAAAGAGGTGGAAAGTATCACAAAGTCTAAAGGGATGCTGCAGGATATTTCTTAAGAGTGAAGCAAATAGCACTTGGTGGAGCTTAGACCTCAGAGGCATTCACCAAGAGATACCTTACATTGCTTAAATTCTTGCTAATGCTCTGAAATAGGACTGTGTGTGAATTTGACTCACTTGATATCTAAATTACCTAAGATCTGGATAATTCCAAAAATGCTTCTCAGAAACAGTTTCATTTCATCCTGTTGGCAAAGACTTTTAGGCCATGTAAAAAGCATTTCTCAGGTTCTGAAAGTCCATGCCATGAAAATCCATCCAGATGTCTTCTATGCAGAATATTTTTTTCAACATCAATAATTAAATTGCTGAGAGTAATACCTAGGCCCCAGTCAGAGCTTCCTTGAAAACTTCTCCAAGTGAATTTACAGAACTGAGGCTGAGAAAAATCAGAGGCAATTGCCCCTGGTCTTTAGAACTTACTGATTTCTCTACAATAGAATAACAGGAGAACAGCTCTCCACACTTGATTTCAGTTTTTATTTTGTTTCAAAATCATGATGAGAAATCAGAAGTTACAAAGGTTGATTCTTTGTTTTATCCTGGTGATTTTCCTTCTCACTTCAGGAAATTTTAACCCTTATGCTGTTTTTCAAAGGGGAAAGGTTATCTAAGACCAAGAATCCCATAAAAATTAATTCTACTTTTTCCTCAATAGAGGGATCATTCAGAAATAGCAGCCTAGGCCCTGCTCTAATCCTCCCCCATCAGACTCAAGGCTGATTTAGGGAGATGCTGGCCCTTGGGCACTTGGTACCCCATGCTTTCCTAAAGCATCTGTTTCTTTTGTTGTTGTTTTTTTGTTTTGTTTTGTTTTTGTTTTTAGTTTGGCTTGGCATAAATATTTGTTGGAAGAACTAATGGACAAGCAATAGATTGGAGAGTAAATCATGCAAGATTATACTGTACCTCGACAGCTGCCAATCCGAATGATAGTCCAATAACTACATCAAGGTGGTTTGAAACCGAGGCTCTTATAACTGGTTCACATGTCTGTTCAAAAAAAAAAAAGTTACCTTTTGTTAAAATGTAGACCTTAATTAATAATTATTTATTTAAGATTTTTATTCATTTGGTCAACTTTTTATATTGCTCCCAAGGATCACACTCAACCTAAAGCAATTGGATTATTGTTTCACTCCCTGCTAACCCCCTTGCTTTGAAAGGTTACAATTTGTTCATCTACTAAAAAGCATCTGAGTAGCAAAATTCTGCTCAATTTTGTAATTACTGAATTGAGGATCTTTTATTATAAATAACAACTTTTTATACTAATATCTTCCTAAATTATAAAGAATTTGAGGAGCAAACTTTGCTTCAACTTTTGAGTTGCTGAACCTAGGGGTCGATAATTATAAACCATGTGGGTTTTTTTCACAAATATCTCCCAAAATTATAATTTTTAAAACTTAAACATGATAAATAATAAATTGTATCCTACCTTCAGATAATTTAGAGATTTTTGTTGTTCTTGTTGTTACCAGAGATATTGAACTCAGGAATATTAAACTCATTGAGCCACAACTCCAGCCCTATTTTGTATTTTATTTAGAGACAGGGTCTCACTGAGTTGCTTAGTGCCTCATTTTTGCTAAGGCTGGCTTTAAACTGGCGATTCTCCTTCCTCTGCCTCCTGAATCACTGGGATTACAGTTGTACGCCACCACACTTGGCTATTTTAGGTTTTTAATCAGCAGCAGAGAGGTACTTGGGTGAAGTTGTAGCTAATCATGTTTTTTAAAACAAAAAATTTAAAATCCTTTGATATCTCCTAGAAGGTAAAAATTATGTCTGCCATTATGCTATTATGTTAGATAAGACATTTAGAAAGTGATCTCTCTGCTATATTTTTAAAAATATTTTTTAGTTGTCAATGGACCTTTATTTTATCGATTGATATGTGGTGCTAAGAATCCAACCCAGTGCCTCACACATGCTAAGCAAGTGCTCTGCCACTAAGCCCCAGCCCGAGCCCTCTGCTGTATTTTTGATGCTTATTCAACTAACATGCAATTCTAATTTCAAATAATTTCAGACCACATTTAAAAATTCCAACAATTATAAACCATAAGGATAATTTTTAAAATGGAAAAATACTACACATTGTAGTAGAGGTTTTGCCTGTATTGCCATAAAATGTATCTTCCCTATGATAGTCATATGTGTACAAAAGGCTCATAAAATATTACTACTTATAAAATAAAAGTTCTCCAATGGGCTTTTATCTTTTCCCTTCATCCTGAATTTAGTGGGTTTCTCTATGCACATCCAATCCAAAGCAGTAAGCATTTGAGGAGATTATCATGTCATTTAGGGTTAACTGAGAGATTAATGATAGTATCTACTGAGTCACACTTATTATACTTGAGGGGTTTTCTTTCCCTTTTCCCCAAGATAAGGAAGTTATCTTGGCAAATGGGAATGAAAAAAGAATTATGAATCATGGACATTCCAGATTTCATATTTTTCCAGACTTCTTGCAAATGACATGTGACAGATGCAAGTATTTTATGAATTTCTGACCTTCCTTTTGGGAACCTGGGGCAGCTATCAACCTACATTCAGATGAATGTTGTGTGAATTTACAGGGACTATCTTTCTTTTTTCTCCTGATAATACTTTTCAAAAATAGGCTTTTCAAAACCTTGAGGCAAAATATCTTTGAGTTTAATATTTATAGGAGACAGCAATCTGCAATTGAATTTAGTCATTTCCTCATTATCCTAAGTGGAAACTACATTCATTTGCACTATATTTATTTCCTACTCTTTGAAGATATTGTGCCTCTAAAATTAGGTAGGGAATAAAGGACAAGAAAGAACATAAAAAATAAGAATAAAATTTGTAAGCAATATTACTTTGATGATGAAAAGACATAGTAATATGGTAGTCTGGCAAATAATTTCTCCCCCATCAGTTATTTTGAAATATTAGTACTAGCAATTCTTCAGAACAGTCTCTATTATTCTAATAAGATCAGTGACACAGATCAGTAGTAGAAGGAGAAATTTTTCTGAGATACTTCATTTCCTTGAATATATTAATCTCAGGAGCTATCACTAAGCCCAAACAATACCAGACTCATTGAGAATCATAATAATTATGTATCTCTCTCCCCAAATGATTATAACTTGCTAGAGGATCCTGAAGCATGTCTGATTCTAGCAAGGGTCTATTTGACACATAATAGGCAGTGAAGAATAACAGCAAATAAATGAAACACTAATATCAACTGTTACTTTTTTATGCATTCCTTCCAAACAGAAGGAACAGTTTATGAAAAGCCCTTTAGTGAGGGACAGATGTCACATCCTTTTGTGAAACATATTCTGAAACTTCAAATGTTAACTTAGTTTGGGTCCATAATACCCAAATTTTCCTCTATCCCCACAATACCAACAGTCCCTCAAATGGAAATTGCCTGATTACATTTCTCTCTTCCTAATTTGAGCATCCATGTGTACAACATTGTACCTTGTTCAAGAATAGATTTCAACTGGCTGGCAGAAAGGCTAGCACATAGGTAGTCTGTAAATATTTGATGAATTGATTTAGAAAAGAAATATGACAAATACTTATTAATATCCACAAGTCACATAGATATGGCATCTAAAACACATTTTTTAAAAATCGTCTTTTAAATTGACTTTAAATATCTGAAGCAACTTCTCAATTGCAATAGGTAAATTTGTAGGTACATTAAACATTCAGAACCTAAACCCGTAAATGTCACATCCTTTCTTTACACATGTACAGTTTCTTGAGAAAAGAAACCTTTGATTTGGGAGGGTGGGGGGAGGCCTGATTTTACAAGCTGAAGTGAAAATATTTATTTCTGGAACTTAGTCTACAATAGGGGGAAAAAAGAGAATAATGATTAAGGTCACCAAAGACAGGCCAAAATAAACTTTTATGTTAGTTTGTACTTTGCTTTCGCATGTAAAATGCTACTTTGACCTACTAAAGTTGGGTTTAAATAATACCAAACCCATAGAAGAAATTAATGAAATACTTTAATTTTTTTTAATATCTGTTTCTTTCTATGTTTTTTTTTCTTTTGTACTGGAGATTGAACCCAGGGACAGAACACATTCCCAGCCATTTTTAAATTTTTGTTTTTAATTTTGAGACAGGGTCTCACTAAGTTACATAGAGCCTCACTAAATAGTTGAAGTTGGCCTTGAACTTGTGATCCTCCTGTCTCAGTGTCCCAAGCCACTGGGATTACAGGCATGCACTATTGAGTCCAGCTCTGCTCTTATTTTTCAGTAAGTATTTCCTTTTTATTTGAGTAATTCCTGAGATTTTCATATCATGATTTCCATTGTACTTGCTGCATTTCAAATTGTAGAGATTTTCATTGGGAAAATAAAATAACAGAACCACTTATTGTGATAAGTTTGATTTAGTTCCCACCTGTTTATAAACATTTCTTCCTGTATAAGTTATACAAGAATCTGATGGATTTGAACATTTACATGACTCATAAGCTTCTTCAAAATTACTTCCCCAATCAGCAGCTCCACTGATCAAACCACAGCATTTAAACTGTTCAATGAAAAGTAGAATAAAAACAGTCATTGAGAGATTAAAAACATTTTTAATACATTGAATTATATTCTTCTGAATATCATTATGAACATGTTTCTTATGCTAAAATATAAAGTAAGTCAACTCGCCCAGTTCTCTGAATATAGAAGCAGAAATAAAGGAATCTTTCATTTTGGTCTTAATAGTTATTAATTAAGTAATAACAGGAAAATTTGAGCTAAGATGCAAAAGTCTAAGGAACTTAGAAAACTGATTTTTAAAAAGTAAAGACTTGCCTTCTAGTTTTTTTTTTCTAGACTGAAAAGAGAGGTATTCTAGATTTTTAGCAAAGAAGTTTCCAAGTTTTCACAAGAGAGTTAAGGTCTCACTAAAGAACTTTGCTCAAAAGAGATAAGAAGTGTTAAAATTACAATTTTTATTCCATGATTACTGATCACTTTTGATAGGAGGAAAAGGACGAGGGGTATTTCAAAGACCAATGGGCATGCTCCAGGGGCCCTCGCTGAGATGAACTTGCATAGGCGTCTTTTAAATATTTGAGGGAAGTACAAATGCAAGCTGGAGCTCTTAGAATAATGTCAGTAAGCTTCAGGCCCAACATAGACAGAAACATGACAAAACACCAAAGACAAGGCAGCATCAAGTTTGGCCAAGTTTGAGGAAGAAAAAAGGGAAGTGATAAGCCCAATCACTCAGGGCATATGGCACATAATATTACTAAATGAAAAAGATAAAAGACATTATCCTTCATCTTGCTCCTAACTGATCTATTAGGGAGAAGAATCTTCATGCAGAAATGGCAAGGAAAAAAAAATTGACTAAAGAAACTAGAACCTTCACTGGCTGATCTTCCAGACTTTGAGGCATTGAAATGGCCAGATTATTGAAAGCACTCTCATTTAATTGGTAGGTGATCATGTTACCCATGTTATTTAAACCTCTCTGCGTCATAGATTCTTCATTTGAAAATTCAGACAAGAACAATTCCTAATAAAAACATCTAATTCATAAATTGTAGAAAATCCATATGAAGATATGAAGTGGTGTTAGCTCAGTGTCTGGCTTATAGAATGTTCTTAATAATATGGATTAGCTGCTATAATTTTATTTTTTGTCATCTGTTGATGTATCTGTTATGCTCTCACCTAAATGTGATCTGTTCAACATTGTTATCAAAGATTTGGATAAAGACATAGAAAGCATTTCTTCAACACTATGGTTGATATAGAGATGGGAGTGATGATTAACATGCTGGAAGACTGAACCAAGTTTCAAATTTGATTCAAAAAATGGATTTAAACTAACAAATTCAACTGAGGCAAATATAAAGCCTTGTAATTAGGCCCAAAGACTGAATTGTACAAACACATGACTCAGATGATGTTCCTATGACAAAGAGCTAGCAATTTCAGGTGGTTCTAAAGTCAAAATTAGCAAAGAGGATACTCTTGGCGGGGGGGAAAAAAAACCACTTTCCTGTTCCCATGGTAGACATGGCTAATTGCTTATGCTTTCTGATCTCATAATCTTGAATAGTATTAATTGATATGGACACTACATGTCAAATAGAATTTAAATCTCCTAAATACACTCACAGGTCAGTTCATATTTTGTACAATATGCCTTAGGTGTCCTTTGGGAGGCATAGAGCAATAGAGGAGACCAGGTAGGAGGCAGAAAAGCTTTAGCTTGTCTTGATGTCTGATCTCAACATCAGCAGTTTGTAAACAGTTGTGGAAGAAATTGATCAGAACTTGCTGGAAAGTAGTAATATAACAGCTGAACAAAACCTGTATGATAGAGTGAATGGTACAACACCCCTAGATGAACAGTCATCACCAAGAACCCAAGAAGGACACATTCCATACAATGTTAATACAGTATTTGGGGGAATTCTTGAAATTCAAAGAGAAAACCACTCAGCCTCTGCAACTTCTGTGCATGTATAGGATACCCCAGGTCACCCAGTTAGAGTTTAGGGTAGGACCCTTTTCCCCAAATTAGATAACAACATAAAGAAGAAAAACAGAATGGATAATAAGAAAGAAGCATAGAACTACGAACACAAGGAGCTTCAGGCACAGGATTTCTACACAAAAAATGGGAGCACATCAGAAGAACATATTCCAACAGAACATTTAGAAACCCACAGCTGGCACAGAGACCTTACATTCCAGAAAGAGTGGGCAGCAAATATGACTCAGGACCTAACCCAGAAGCCTCTATTTCATTTTGTCCAAGGTCAGTTTACTAGTAAGGGTCAAGAATGATCAGCCCCACTTCAGTGAGTGAACTAGTTCTCAAGAGAATGATTTGCTATAAAAAGAGCAAAACTGAACTGCTAGCCTCTAGCTTCCTATCTCACCATGTGATCTCTTCTGTATATGCTCCTACCAGTGTAGCACCAACTTTTATGAAGCCCTTACCAGAGATGAGCAGATGAGGTTGCCATACTTTTGAACCTTTAGAACCATGAGCTAAATACATCTTCTTTTATACAGTATTCAGCCTCAAGTATTTTGTTACAGCAACACAAAACATTCTAAAACACCATCTCCTGGGGTTGTTATATTGTTTGCTACTAAATATAATATCTGATACAAAGTAAATAGCAGTGAAAATGTTAGCTATTATCATTTTATGGAGGAAGAGAGAGAAATATCCCAGATATGCTACTGTTTAAAAGAATTATGGTTTTTACCCAATCAAGGGTCATAAACTGTCATACTCTGCCATAAACCTATCTTCCTACTCTGTGTCCTAAACTGCTTCAAAACTTCATAAGAATCTGGGAAAAAAATAAAATACAAATATGCTTGAATTTTTCTTATTGCAAGGTGACAAGAATGATCAGCTAAAATCTGCAAAAAAAAAAAAAAAGGGTATTCAATCCTTAAGAAATACACCTTAAAAAGTGAAACCAACATTGAATAACTATGCCCAGCTGCCCAGATGACATATGAATTCTAATTACCTCTTTTTGGAATGTAACCATGGTTTTCTGAAATTTTCTTCCTTCTTCATTTGTTTGACTCAAGAGCTGTGCACTTTCACGGAGAGTTGCCTTCAAAGCACGCTCAGCCTGAAAATTGAGAAGTATTGTTAGATTATTCGTATCAGAGATAGTGTTTCAAATTTTTAGACTTTTACAAAATTATCAAATATTCTCTGTGTACACACCTCAGGTTTGAATTTCGCTGCTAGGATACCTGCTGTCAACTGCATGAGCAGGATCGGAAACAAACCTATGAAAAACTGGAGAGAAGAAAAGAAAAAAAAGTAATATCTGTTACCTTCAGTGTATCTAGTAACATCTAGGACATTTCAGCATGACACACTCTTGACAACTTGGATCAGATAGCAGTTGAAATATTAGCCACAATCTTTATTTCCTCCACCCTTTGTGTCAAGCTCCAAATTTGGGGTCCATTACTACTCAGGAACATTTGCTTCAAAGACTGATCAAAGAAAGTGGTTCAAACAAAACTTACTTTATAGGACAATTGGTATCCGCATGATATTAAAGGAAGGAAAGTTTGAAAACATAAGTGAATTTGTTAGACTATTATTTCTCCTTTGCTTTCTTCATCAATTACAAACACATGCAGAGCTGGCTTCAGAACAGTATTGCCACCACCATCACAATTACATGGCATCTTGTTTTATATGTAGATTCCTGAAATCTGCCTTAGATCTGCTGAATCATAATTTTGAAGGATACAGGCTCCCAGATTAATGTTTTGTTTTTTCTTAAACAAGCTTCTCAAGTAATTAAAGTCCTCAAATTGCAAATGAGGCCTTATTAGTTAAAACAACATTGAGATGCTCTTAGAGTTCTATTAAACTCTGTTTCCCTTAACAATACTTATTTTATTAGAAAAATAAGTTTTAAGTTCTCTTTGATAAATGCTTATATCAGATTTATATATGATAAACAATTGATTTCTTTAAACATTTTTACCATACTCATCCATTATTTTCTACTATATATGTTTAAAGTGAATGTGTAGCCTGGCGTAGAGGCACATGCCTATAATCACAGTAACTTGGGAGTCTGATACAGGAGGATGGCAAGTTTGAGGTCAGCCTCAGTAATTTATCAAGATCCTGTCTTAAAATACAAAAGAATATAAAAAGTTGGGGAGGTAGCCCAGTGATAAAGCATCCTAGTAGTTCAATCCCCAGTATTCCCCACCCCGCCCCCAACAGACAAGTGAATGCCTATGAGTTATCACAACCCTTTCTATCCTCCTGGAAATTTTCTAAGTGACAGAGTTGATTGTCTCCCTTAACATTTTCTTAGCTTGGCATGTGGGCATTTTAATAAGATTTGGCCATAATTCACACTCAGAGTCATTTCCTATCATTGACTGAAAATAGCCTCTGCCACTCTCCCGCCACACCCAAAGCCTTTCAGTTGCCCAAACCTGTCAGCTCTGGACTGCCAGGCTGTCTTCCCGGAAACGTCATCACCCTGTCACCATACAGTCACCTCTGCCTCTGGCTTGAAAACTCCCTCTTATATCCTTGCCCTTCCGACCATTCCCACACTACAGCTCTTTGTTTACTGACTACTCTTCCCCAGTGGGTTTTAATTATCCTTAGATCTCATATGTCATTTAGCACACTATCTGGCACATACAGCTATGCAGTCGTGTTGCATGAATAAACAAAGTGAACGAATGAATGGATGGATGATTAAAATATACTCCCTCTCAAAACATCCTCTAATCTAAACCAGGCTAAGCCAAATCTAAACCACATTAGTGTCTACAATCAAACCTCAAAACAGAAGTTAAAGTTGCATCAATCTTGGCAAGTCTTTTTTGACAGAGAATGGGGACAGGAGATCATCCTCAAGAATCTGAGAGTTGGAATGTCTGGAGAACTCACCAAAAGAAGCATACAGCGATTCTCCTTTAGAGCACCATAACATGCCAGGAAACTCATAACAACGGTGATGGCACCTACAGCAATCAACATATTCACAGAAGAATGGGAGTTAGCCCCATTGTCCCCAGAATTAACAGCCTGGAAATTAAAAACAAAGAAAGAGAGAGAGAGAGAGAGAGAGAGAGAGAGAGAGAGAGAGAGAGAGAAATTAATGACAGAAACTCTTTTCCTTGATGTTCATGTTCATTCAATAAATATCCATTGAGTTCCAACTATGTACAAGACCCGGATGGAGGCCCTTGAAACATTTATTTCCATAAACTAAATAAATAAAAATCAACCCTCATACATTTCGTGAAGCTGCCACTTTTCTGAATAATGCTTCCAACCTTATCTTTTTCTAATAATGTTAAAAGTTGGGTGGAAGGAATGTAATGGTTTTTAAAAACTGTTTTTCAAAGCTTAGAAGACCAGCTACTTTTCACTCTTTTTTTTTTTGATTCACATATTTTGCATTTTATACATAAACTAGCATTATAAAGCATGTGTTTAGGGGAATTTAATTATTTTAATTCAAAAAGCCCATGTTCTTCAAATCACTGATATACACAATGATAGGAATGAATCTCAGACTCACTGTGTTGAGTGTGTGTAGGGGGAATCCTTTATTAAGAGTAAATACTGTTTTGATTCCATACATACAAAGTTCAAAAACAAGCGAATCCATGGTGAGGAAAATAAGAACCGTGTATTCCTGTGGGAGGCCAACCTTATGGGTGACTGAGTTACACTCCCCAGCTGGGTGCTGAGGCACTCAGTCACAGAAATGGGTGTGTCTTGCTACAGCCCCATGGGTGAAGCTAGGCTCACCTGTTCCTTTGTAATATAACCCCTTGCCCTGTTTAGGATAGAATCTTCCATGGAAGTGCCTTGTGTGTGTTCCCTTCTCTTACTGTGCCCTTGGGTGTGGCCTACCCAGGTGTCAGTCAACCTGCTGACAGTGGACATCATGAAGAGAGACTCAGCTCCCTGAAACCTGACCCCTTGCCTCATTTGAATAGCTTCTCCTCAATAAAAGGGGTCAGCGTGTGCTCTTGCTCTCTCTCTTTCTGCAGACCCTTAAGGTCAGAGAAGCCGTCACAGCGACTCCAAAGAAAAAGGAATTTGTGTCTCTTGTGTGGTTATTTCGTGCAGCCCAGTTAGCCCAATTTAACTAGAGTGACCCCTGAGCCTTTTAGTCACGAGAACAGAAACCCGGCATATTCCTTTGAGCAAAGAAGGAAGGAGGCAAGACTTCACTGAAGGGGACATAAGGGACTTTTTCAGGTTAATAAAAATGCTTTGCATCTTGATTAAAAAAAAAAAAAGTCCAGTACTTGATATTCCATATCAATTCTATCTTCTCTTTCCTAGAAGGCATATTCAAGAAACTCTATTTTACCTACTACTGTTAAGTATTCAGATGAGAGGCAAACATCCTAGGGCCTTTCATGGTAGGTGGACTACATATCCGCCATAACTCAGTTCACCTGGCAGGCAGCACAGCACCCTCTTCTTCACCACTCTCATTACTCCTAGCCTCAGTCTACCAATGTCCTCCAGGTATATGTCCAGTAGCCCATCACAATTAGAGGGACAGCTTACACCAGATGTTAACATTTTTGAGGCGGGTAGCCCATCTGTCTCCTATAATGACCACCACGGCTGCTGTCTGCTAGACGGTCTCTAGGAAGGGCACTCGTCCCTCCACCCAAAGACTCTGCCTCCCAGAATCTGCCATGCAGCCCAGAGGTCACACCTCCCTTAACAGTCAGTACAAAAATAACTGTTGCCACTACTAATAATTCTTTTGTTTTAAATGCTTAATTTTTAAGCCTAGAGAAAACCTTTATTCAACAATGAGTAGGAAGAAATGTATAGAAATGATAAAAGCATTAAAACGAAGCTCTATATTCCCATCAGAGGCCTAGGAAATCACTAGGTTTGTAACCCTAGGATGGTCAACTAACTCATTGGGGCCCAGTTTTCCATTTATAAAAGGGAAGTGGGTCCGGTCTGTGATTTCCAAAGACTCTTTTGTCTCCAAAAGTCTATGCTTACAAATAATGTTTCAATTTACATATTTTGAAAGTTTGGTTATGTCCTAAAGATTTCTGTTTGTTTTAGGGGTTTTCTGTTTGTTTGATTGTTATGATTTGGAGCTAGGAAAATCATTTTTGTTAATTAAACAGGCATGACATCTGGGTCAAAATAGATGGGACCAAAAAGCAGCCTTAAGGAAGAAAAACCTAAGTAGCTATATCAATTCACTATCAAATATTGCTCTTCAGAACACTGCAGCCATTACAGGCAAACCTAAGGCACACGGAAGGATGGAGACTCTCTAGCTGGGTTATTAGAACTTAGGATACATAGCCCAGAGTTAGAAAGAATAAGCCAAATACCTACATCTGAACTGGAACTTCTGGGGACAGACCATGCAGAGTGAACCACAGCCAGTTGAGCAAAAAAAAAAAAAAAAAACAACAACAACAAAAAAAAACACTATGTTGACTGCCTGTCAGTCACTATTCCAAGTCCAGCTCACCAAGTGGCTATTGTTATAAAGAATGAAGTAGAAATCCCAGTTGAGATACTTGCTCCCACAGAGACACAGCAGGTTTTTAAAAGCTGTCTTGGGTGAGCACTGAGTCTATGTGTATCTTAAGACAAGGGGAGGCTTTCTACAGGAAATGGGATGGCTGGGCCTGAAAGAGGAGCATTTGGGTGTCATCTTTGGAGTAGAAGGCATCTGCTGGTACATGATGGCTACCAGCATGCTTTGCCTCGTGGTGCAAAATTTATCCTGGGGAAACCAAGTCCCTCTGAGACACTTGAGCAGAAAGAGATGCCACCTCCCGGATTTTTTGTTTTAAGTCCATGTTTTCTCTTCTAAAATGGCTGCCTCTGTTTTTCCAGTAATAAATCAAATCTTCTCTCGGTCCCGATTCTTTGTCACTGACTTCAGATTAATGTAAATCAAAACAATTTCCCATGTCAGGCGGGTTAATGTTGTTCTGGCCAATTGAGACTTTCGTTCAGGGTAAGAGGCCTACAGCATAAGAGTCAAAATGTAACTAAAGATGCTGTCGAGCCCCATTAGTACATTCCCCTCCCCAGATGTGGAGTCACACCCTCTCAAGGACAACAGTTCTCCTTTAACACGTTCAATGTGTGCAGTTCCTTTACAGACTAAACACCACGTTTGTTTACCAGAAACACTTGGGAGAAAGAGACTGTCAACCAGAAACATGAAAATGAAATAAAATAAAATGCAGACTGCACACACATCTTTGAAGGACCCAAAGCACCCTCAAATGGCTGTTAGTCTCTGTGCCCAATTATGAGCTCCAAAGTCAAACCGATTCTGCACACTTTCCAGTATTCTCCTTGGACCCAAACATCAGAGACCCAGGCCATTAGGCAGTCAGAGTTGCATTTATCTGAATAAGTAATAAATGAAAATGATAAATTTGGGAGTTACCGACTACTTGCCACAACCGCCCCACCACCCAGTTACTTCACCGAGGCGAAGCCCAGAATGAGGAAGCAGCTAATTGCCACAATGATTCCCTAGGTTCTCAGGGTAGAAAGAAAATTACAAAAAAAAAAAAAGGGGGGGAAGAAAAAAAAGAGAGAGAGGAAAAACTAAATAAATTTTCAGAAAACCCAACCACTCAACCACTTTAGGAAAGGAAGCAAAACAGATGTTAATTTGCTTTTTTTTCCACCAGGCTATGTCCAAAGGCATTTAGCTGCACCACATAATAAATTCTAATAGAAAATGCATTGTCTTAATTACTGGCTTCATATTATCTTTGTAGCTATCAAATAGACATCAAATTGCTTCGTAAGAGGAAGACTTTTGAAAAGACATTGCAATCGTGAATAGTGACAATAGCGTAAAAACCAAGAAGAACAAGTCAACTGCTTTACATCGGGTAAGAATAATAAATTGAGGAAAGGATTGCTCTTGACAGGAGAGAGGAAGGAAAAGAAAAATGGGAACAGGGGACCCAGGAGATAGTGCCAGGGTAGCACTGTAAGTATTATATTGGGGGAACTGACAAAACAATCTGCCCACACTCTCACCTCCACCCTCCTCCTTCCACACTATGAGTCTATGGTATGGAGCAGAAATAGCACATGTGGAGTCCAAAGGTTGGAGCCAGAATCAACCCTCAGAACTAACCTTCCTTTAAACCTGTGGAAATGTTAGTAAGAGCTTTGCCCCAGGGATAGAAAGGCTTGCAGTGATGGGAAGTGGTCATGTTGATCCTGCATAAATAGCAAGAAGCTGGGCTTGTGCAGCTACCTGCAGAGTCGCGCTAGCATGATCAGCCTCCTGTTGTTATAAGGGGTGGCCCTCGATGCTAGCTGTGACAGACCTGCTACCTTTACAACACTGATGTACATTCTTCTCCAAGAGTACTTCTCATGTTCTTTCCTTTGGGGCCAGTCACCTGGGAATCAGCTAAATATTGTCAATACCTGGTGCCATATAAATTGTTCTTCTGGGTGGGGAGGAGGAGCGGTGGTCTACATCCCCAAGCTGTGTCAAGCCAGCCATAAACAAATACTGAAGGAGTCAAATTTCCACGTTGGCCCCTTTCTACCTCCACTTCCACTGGACTCTTCCTAATTGTGGGATAACACCTCTTCCACTCTCCAGAAGGTTATTCTATGCATAGTGATTACTTTCTTTGTTCCATGCACAGTGCCAGGAACATAGTAAGTAATTTTGATTGAATTATAAAATCAAATTATCAGTACAATTACATGAGGCAGTTAAGAAAAACCTACAGAAATATTTAGTATTATTAATATTGCCATTGCTTTCATTATTATAAGAGAAACTATTTGGGGGCAAGATTACATTGTATTTATTTTTATATTACCCCTTGTCCATCTTTGCTTGCTCGGATCCATATTGCTATTGACAGGATCAAGATACCACATAGCTGCAGGAAAAAAACAAAGAGTGTTACAATTAAGATAAAATGAAATACTATTTCCAAACACCCTATCCATCTGGTTGCAATAGTTTGTCATTAATTGTACATTATAGCCTGACAGACACAACTGTCATACTAAGGCATATTCATATAGATAATTGCTGAAGTATTATAATACACAAGTTTGACAAGAGTAACTCTGCTTCCCATTCCTAGTCCACTCATAGATCTATAGCCAAGAAGTCACCTCTACTAAGAAGGGAGAAACTATTTTTCATGATTTAATTCTAATCATACATTTTTGCTAGATAATTGCACAAAAAAACATAAGTCACAACAGTTTAAACACAAAAGATCCTTAGAGTGCCTGTGGACTTATTCCTGGAAAGTTATCTTAGAGAAAGATGGGAATAACTTATTACCAAATATTCATTCAAAATGTAAGAGGGAGGTTGAAGTTGGAATCAAAAGGAAACAGTAGAATATTTGACAAAATGCTCAGTTAAGCAACAAAGATCTATATCTCAACCAATACTTTTTGAACCTCAATAAACTCTTTAAAAATACGCATTTTTAGGTAGTAAAGCTTAGCCAGAGAAAAGGAACAATGGAGAACAGTACTTAAAGTCTTAAATTCCTTTAATGACTTTACCAGATTATTTAATTTGGAGCAAAGCCAACAACACATAAAATGGAAAACACATTTTATTTTAGTGTTAAGGAAAACCCTTGTCATTCAGAGTTTAAGAAATAAAGATATATATTGTGGATTCAAAAAAAATCAAAGATTTATTATTAGATAGATATGTTGAGAGCAGCCCTGGTAACATACCAGACTTGGAGGACTTTCTAGACTTTCTTACCTTTCCATGTTTTGACAAAGGAACGTCTGAGTTCTCCAAAACCCACTGACCTTGGAGCGTCCTTGTTTTCATGTATGGGTGAGCCATATGCCTGGAACCTCCAGCAGCACTGTTAATGGTTTCTTATTAAGTTTGCAATGGAAATAAGGTCAAGGGCCTTGTTACCAAGTAGGGAGTTCAATGAGCAGCTGAATGTAACCTGTGCTCTCTAAAAGACCTCAAAAATTATCCAGGTCCAAAATCTTCATTTTGGTTAAAGAAACTGAAATCCTGAGAGATAATAGGCATATGGTAAAACTTCAAGGCAACTCATAACCAATCTACCCTTACTGCATGTTTCAACTTCTATAAAATAATTGAAATTATTCTAATGAGATTGAAAGGTAAAGCTGTTTATCACCTACCAATGCAATTATTTTACACCCAAAAATACAAACTATCCAAAAACAAAAATAGCTTTGGAACTTAAAAAAATCTCCCTTACATCCCCCATGCCCCACCTCCTTCCACAAAATTCTAATTTCATTTGCTAATGGAAATAAGTGCTCTTGTTAGCAGTTATTTACTGATAAAGCTGTGCAAATTTGTGTCAAATGATAATGAGACCCTCTGAGATTTTCAGTAATTTTATACCACTGGATTTGTTGTTGTTGTTGTTTGATTTGCTAACTGATATTTGCTTTTTCTTCTTTTACAAATAGACTTATATTGATTGATTGTCTTGATAGTCTCTCTAGCTTTTAGCTTTGACTAAAATTAATATTAATTATCCTAGTAGCTAATTGTGATCACCGTGCTTACTGGTATTTACTAAACTGTCAAATAGAAAACTTTAAGAATGCTTACAGAATAAGAGTGTGACGTTTTTTGAAATACCAACTCTCTTTGTGTTACTGTTTACTTCACTTTAGCAAAGTAGTTAGAAAGTAAACCACATATAAATTTTATTAAATCAACCAAATGTGCCATCTTCTCAGCCACTGAACTTTGTCAGTAACATCAGCATGGAAAAGGAGTATCAAATGATTTCAGAAGTCAAGAACATTTTGCCCAAATTCAATCTTCACAATTAGAAAAAATTCTTTTAGAGATTTTGAAATTGAATAAACTCTCATATCTCTCTCTCTTTCTCTCTCTCTCTCTCTCTCTAACTTTATTTTTTTTTAAAAAAAAAGAAATATATCATTCTCATCTTATTTGGAGAAATTCACATGTAAAGATCACAGTCTGTTACCACAAAATTATTTATAAATGTTTTGACTGACTTTAAAAGTAAATTTGTTTTCTATCAAAATTATCATTCCAGAGTTATGATTAATACTAAATTATTTCATCTCCTGTCTTTGAGCATCAATCATAATGGTTCTTTGAGCCCTTTCCCTAGTATGGCCTTCAGGGTTTGTCCCCTGATCTTTTTATACTGATTTAAACAACAAAAACTATGAATTAAGAAAAAAGTATCTACTCCCTAGAAGATGGAGTAGTAAATGCTATATTTGTCCTTGGGTTAAGCTCCAGTAATTGTTACTAAATTGTTATTTTTTTCTATGGTATCTCTTCTCTTTCAAAACTATTTCCTAAATTTGCACTCCATAATAAAAATACTGCTATTCAGAAAAGTTACTTGTTTCTTTTCAGCCACTGGGATGTTACACCTTTTGTGATCATCCCAGTTCAACCAAGGCTAAATGTATAATGTCAGGCAATCACTGTTTTTACAAAGGTCACACATTTCAGCCATTTTTAAGTCTTTGTCTTGGGGCATCTTCAACTGATAGAATAAAATATAATTGTATCTGATTATTTTTAAGGTACCCCTATCTTAGAGTTATATTTACTTTGCTTCCAGATTTTTAATTATTCTGAGCACATTCAATTTAGGGGCCCAGGCAAAGCACACACACACACAATGATAGACAATGAAATGCTGGTTCCCAGATTCATTCCAAAACTCAACTCAAAATGGATCAAGGACTTAGGTATACAACCAGAGACCCTGCGTCTAAGAAAAAGTAGGCCCTAATCTCCATGAGGTGGGATTAGGCCTCAACTTCCTTAATAAGACTCCTGTGGCACAAGAATTAAAATCAATAATCAATAAATGGGATAGATTCTTCTCAGCAAAAGAAACAATCTGTGAGGTGAATAGAGAGCCTACATCTTGGGAGCAAATCTGTGAGCCTACATCTTGAGAGCAAATCTTTACTCCTCACACATCAGATAGAGTACTAATCTCTAGGATATACATAGAACTCAAAAAGCTAAACACCAAAAAAACAAATAACCCAATCAATAAATGGGCCAAGTACATGATGAGATACTTCTCAGAAAAGGATATGCAATCAATCAACAAATACATGAAAAAAATGTTCATCATCACTAGCAATTAGAGAAATGTAAATCAAAACCACTCTTAAGATTTCATCTCACTCCAGTCAGAATGGCAGCTATTATGCATAGAAACAACAATAAAAGTGTTGGTGAGGATGTGGGGAAAAAGGTACACTCATACACTGCTGGTGGGACTGCAAATTGGTGCAGCCAATACGGAAAGCAGTATGGAGATTTCTTGGAAAATTGGGAATGGAATCACCATTTGACCCAGCTGTACCTCTCTTCAGTCTACACCCAAAGAACTTGAAAACAGCATACTACAGGAACACAGCCACCTCAATGTTTATAGTAGCACAATTTACAATAGCTAAACCATGGAACCAACCTAGATGCCCTTCAATAGATGAATGGATAAAAATAAATGTGGCAAATATACACAATGGAATATTACTCAGCAATAAAAGAGAATAAAATCATGGCATTTGCAGGTAAATGGATGGCATTGGAGAAAATAATGCTAAGTGAAGTTAGCCAATCCCACAAAAACAAATACTGGATGTTTCCTTTGATATAAGGAGGCTGATTCATAGTGGAATAGGGAGCAGAAGCATGGGAGGTATAGACGAACTCTAAATAGGGCAGAGGGGTTGAAGGGGAAGGGAGAGAGCAGGGATAATTAATGATGGTGGAATGTGATGATCATTACTATCCAAAGTACAGGTATGAAGACACGAATTGGTGTGAATATACTATGTATACAACCAGAGATATGAAAAATTGTGCTCTATACATGTAATAAGAATTGTAATGCATTCTGGAAAAAAAACAAAATAAAGTTATTGTGTCCATCTTAAAAAAAAAAAAAAAGAATCTTTTGCTTTCTCCAAGGCTCCTCATGCTTTGGCTTCTTTCAGTTGCTAATACCTTTGCCTGTACAGCTTGCCTCCTTCTTCGCATCTTGCCTCTCTTACCTCATCCTATTTCCCCTCATTAAGAACTGTTCACTCAGTCCCCAGTCATATATTACTGTCTTAAAGCAAAAAGCCCCATGTTCCATGTTTACTCCAAACCCTAAGAAAGTTTAAAGATCTACCATACTCGAAGGCCCCGACTTTCTGAGAAGAGCAAAATAAATTTGGGCATTTCATCCATTTTTAATATAAGACTCAGAGAAATAGGTTTTGTACCTATAACTTCTCTATCTATAGCACCTCGAACTCTCTAATTTGCAGCAAACTTTAGAATGAATGGTTAGGAATGATTTTTGCATTTACATATTTCTCTTCAATTAGTAATTCTAAAAAACAAAAATTCCTGCATTTCTATATGGCATATTTCAAGTTCTCTCCCAAAAGAAACCAATATGATTAGTTTAAATGACCATATGCATATCTTAGAGATATTTCAACATCTGGCCCTACTTTGCAAAAAATTAATTTTGAAAGTTACATCAGAAAAGAATGCATTTGAAAACATAAGGCCATGGGCATCTACAAGAAAACCACATCAGTGGGACCATTAAAATTTTTACTTAAGTGAACATTAGGAATGTGACAAATTGCTAATTTCCAATGAAGGATCATAAAATTCCAACCATGAACTCTGGGTTGAGGGTAGATGGAGGAGTAGAAACAAGAACATTCCCTAACCTCAAACCACCCCTCCTACTGTCTAGATTTTGATTTAAAATACTGGTGTCACGTGTTGGCTAATAAATAACCAATGATCTTTAAAACCATTGCTTTTGATTTTCTTGCTGAAAGACTCCATTTCGAGATTTCTTTCAAAGAGATTATAAAATCCAAGACACATGCTGCCAGGAAGAGCCCCTGAAGGAAGTTAGAACTGTCTACCTGAAATCCACAATGTGGGAAAGACTTTGTGTTATCAGAGAAACAAATAGATATGGCAACCATAAAACCATCGGAGCTCCTCCAGAAAATTGGTGACAATGTGGTATAGACCTCTACAATTGACCTGGAACCTCAGTCTTAAATATATAATCCCAGATCTATGATAAACTCTTATCCTAGATTGTCTTTATTATTTGAGTTTAAAATTCAGATCTAGGGGCTGGGGATGTGGCTCAAGTGGTAGCGCGCTCGCCTGGCATGCATGCGACCCAGGTTCGATCCTCAGCACCACATACAAAACAAAGATGTTGTGTCCGCCAAAAACATTAAAAAAATTCTCTCTCTCTCTCTCTCTCTCTCTTTAAAAAAACATTCAGATCTATTGCAAATTCCTGTTATTTAATTTTAAAAAGGAGGAATTAACAACCAATACCAACTTTGCATACTGCTTTTATGCAAGAAAGACATTTTTTACTGTTTTGGAATTTGAAGATTATTATTGGTTTTGGTGCTTTGAGACATCTTACTACAATGGGAGCCATATATTTATTAATATATTGACAGTTGGTTTGTTTAAAAGGACCACATATATTCTGTATCATAGAAAGAAGACAACAACTGCAATTCTTAGTACTTCCTGGAGAAATAACTGATTACAAGTCAGGGCAGGGAAAAGCATCTTGGAACATGTTGATATACCACATAATGAAGAAGTTGCCAAAGTTATTAGGATCGTATTAAATAGACTCAGAAGTCAACTTGAAGAAGCTCTTAATGGTCAAGCATGGAACAAATGGCACATCAATAAGGAAAAGAACTATAATGAAATTTACCTATTATTTCATAAGGATACTTAAAGACAAGCTTATCACTGTTGAAAACTGGTTAACTGAAGATTAAGAAAGAAGTATTTATGCTACTTTTTATTTAATTATGTATGATACACACATTATTAAATTAAATTACAAACACACACACATAGTGAGTACCATTGGTAATCAAAAAGTAAATCAGTAAATGAGAATATTCTCCTTATAGAAAATTTTCCAGCTAATATGTGAAGAAAACTTGATAGAATTAGAATATCAGCAATTTTAATCTCTTAATGAACTAAAAATGGAGCACTTGAGCATCATTACAAAAATGTGACACATCTTTCTGATGAAAGAATACATTATCACTTATGAGGCAGTTATACAAAGAAAAAAAAACAAATCTAAAACTTATCAAACCATCTCATGCAAAAATTAACTTACAGATTGTACAAAAAGACATATTAAATTATACTTTAAGTACACAAATAGAAAAACTCAGACCATAGAAAAATGTGATAAGCCAAACAGCACACATCACTATATAAAATTTGAAGGGGGAGAAAAAAGATGATGTGGGAGGGATAATCTACAGATTAACTACAAATGACATGAAAAAAAATATCAATCAATCACAATGTATGGGCCTTATTTGGATCAGAATCCTAACAAACATTTCTGAGGCAACTGGAAATTTGAGCCCTAGACAGATATTTCAGAATTGATCAAGAAATTCACATAAAGTTTTTAAAGTATTATAATTATGCTATGGCTACACTTTTCAAAGAAAGTATTTTCTTTCAAAGATATGTACTAAAATATTGATAAATGAAGTGGCATATATTTAAGATATGCTTCAAAATAACAGGGGATGGGGAAATGAATGAGTATGAATGGAGAAGGATTGGCTGTGGATTCAAGGCTGTCGGGCTAGGTTATGGGGTCACTTAGCCTATTTTGTCTTTGGTGAATGTTGGAAACTCTCCATAAAAATCAGCTAAAAACAAATCACTAAGCCAAAGAACATAAGCATTTGCTTCTTTATATTCTACTCCCAATGTTTTAAATATTTCAAGGGAAGAAATTTATCAGAACTAATGTTAAAAAGTACATATGTGCATGAGCTTCATTTCATATTTTCAGAAGCAGCCCCATTTTTTGAGGGAAAGAAGAAAGAAGAAACCTTCTTTTTATTTTATTTACTTACATACTCATTTATTTAATTTACCAGTATGTCATCTGTATTCATTAGGGCTACTGACCATTAAATGGAAAGTTATTCTATGCAATAAAGGTGTACTCATGTAGTTAAGTTTAATAAAGTTCATCATTATTTTAATAGTGTATAAATTTACCAACACATAGATACTGGCTTTCTGGTTATTAAAGACAACCAAATTCAAAAGCAAAAACAGTTCTATTCTCATTGTACCATATGATCTATTTTTCAATTCAGAATACAACATGATTTTTCTTATTTAAGCACTTTGACTATTCTACTAATTTACTTCTGTACAGTCTTAAAGCTGTATTACATATAGTAAAAAATGATAAGGTCAATTATCAACATCCCAGCCTATCCTTTCACACCGTGTTTTTCCATTTTCCAATGTTAGATGCTACTTACAACTTACTTACAACTTAGTCTACCTCAATAGGCTTTCAAGAGAAATATAATTTGCTAAATACAAACCCTGCCACTTAAAAGTAGGTTGATGACACATCAAAATACTAACTTTTAAAATACTCAAACATATCCACTAGCCTAGTTTAATCTTTTTGTGATTAAATAATTTTATTGTTTTCCCCTAAATTTTTTCAAGATCCATTGTTTTTCCTTGAGGCTCTGAAAATGACCCTCTTCTCCTGTCTCTCTCATCCCACAACTAATTAGTCACCTGTTTCAAACCCAAATGTTAAAGGAAAAAAAATCAGGAGATAGGCTCTCGGTGAATCAAAGCACATTTTCCCCAAAGAATCCTAAACAGAAAAGCCCTGATTGATACATAACTAAAAATAATTTTCCTTTAATTAAGGGTAATTTTTCCTCTGATTGTTTTTGCAACGATATCAAAACATTTATGCAGTGTTTATCCTTACAGATCCTGAAGTGCACTTTTTTTTTTTTTTGAGTCATTGGCTTATTTTCAATTGCTGAAATAATCAAAGAAAGAACAATCCAAACAAATAAATGGAAAATACATTTTCCTCCTCATCCTATTTCTCTAGTATAGAGTCTCTTCTTATTTACGATATTTATATCAGGATCCCCTTTCTTGCATAAAATTGATAATTAAAAGAAAAACACTTACCAAGAACACGAAGTTGAAGACAAACATAGAATATTTTACACAGGGACTCGCACCTGCCATTTCGAAAAAGAAGCAGGAATCCAGATACAGTGAAATTAACTATTCGTTAGAAGATTGTCCTTCAGTATGCTCTGGAACTATTTGCCTGCAGACAGTCCTGTGTCCACAGCCTCAGAGCATAAATAGAAAGCAAAAAAAAGAGGAAAAAAAAGAGAGAAAAACAGTTATTAAAATGGATAAAAAAAAATTAACCCACACATTTAAATATCCCAAAGCCTATATCCAGGCGAGTTTGTGCTTTTGCTTGTCATGGCTCCTGAGGCACTGGGCCAGGAGAGTTATGATCCTTTCTCAAAAACTGCCTCCTCTAAAGTAAACAGATATCAAGTTAAGGGAGAGTTGTTGGAGCAGAGGGGAGAATGGCACAGCAACATAGTAGGTGGTTAGACTTCAGAAAACCACAGCCTTATTTTCCTGCCTTCTGTTTGGACCATAGGGAAATAGGTCATTTTGCTCTCATGTAAAGGGACATTGTGTCTCAACTCATTTTTGCATTGTATTTTTGTCAAAAATACAATTTTTTTCCCCAAATGCAGTAAAATGTGTGCTAAAATTCCAAGCTTAGGTAACCTTTTATCATTAATCTCAGAATTGTGAAACAACCATTACTTGTATCTGCCTTCCAAAGCTTCTGACTTTTTTTCAAAACAATCCCAGGGAGCTGCTTTAACTGCATCACAGTGGCAGGAGGTGGAGAGGGAGAGGCAGCCTTGCCTTTAATGTAAGATCATTCCGTTTTCATCTTTATTTCTTTACAATGCAAAAAATAATAATAATAAATAAAATTCCCAAAAGCTACTCTCTAACTACCCCATTGTTTCTTGTTATAATGTATATCTTGTCTTGATAACTTGGTTTCTTTTAAAGGCGGACACTGTGTTTTCTTTCTTCTGATAGATTATGTGTAGCAATAGCTCCATCCCACTAACAGTTTCTGGATTCTGGATTCTCTTGGACCAAAAAAATTAATTAATTAATTAAAAATTAAATGGAAAGGCAGCCATGGATCTGTTGACTATAGATTCTACAGTTTATTTCTAATGCTAATACAAAGCAACTGTATCCAGATGAAGACAAAAAATCTCTGGTCTAATCAGGGAGGTGTAGACCACTTTGCATAAACAACCTGGGTCACACCAGTTTCCATACCCTGACTCTCAAAAGGAGTTCCCCAAATAAAAAAAAAAATTAAAAAATAAACTTTATATTTCAAAAAATCATTGAGGAAATAATTCCTTAAACTCTTTATAAATTCTATACAATAAGCAAGCATGAACTTCTTTTTTTATGGTTGAATTTTTTCTAAATATTTATTTTTTTAGTAATACTTTGGTTTTATTTATTTATTTTTATGTGGTGCTGGGGATTGAACCCAGGGCCTCGCATGTGCCAGGCAAGCACTCTACCGTTGAGCCACAACCCCAGCCCAAGCATGGACTTCTTCCAAAAGAAGAATATTTTTTCTAACTTTCAATAACATAAAATCCTATTCTCTAACAATAAGAGAATATATTCCAATGCATTATTGGCAATAATATTTAGTGTTAAAAGCCAAATTTAGAACTAGTTCTAAAAATAACAATGACTTAATATTTAAATCATCACTAACACTGCCCATGTTCTGTGCTGCTTCCTCCTAGGAAATTGAAATAATTCTATACACTTCTTAGTGCGTATGAGATAATCCAGAGTGAAAAAAAAAAAGAGTTTTCAGTTGAAAACCAAAAGATTCTGTAGTCCCCAATTAGATATCACATAGAGATAAAATTAAAAGAAAAACATTTTTAAATGTTATTTTGTTGACAAAAATCTAGTGAGTACCTACTTATCTTTGGTTTGGAATAGATTTCCTGGTGAACACAAAATTTCCTTAAAGAGAATACAGTCTGTAGTTAAATCTTTCTTGAATACTGAAATTCAATCAATCGATATGCTTTTACAGGAAAATGACTCTGTGGAATAGAACTCCCAGTCCAATTCAAAACCAATATGTCACAGTTCCTTCTTGTAACTTTCCTACCCAGTGAATGTTCAAATCGCATGGTACTTGTCCAAGCTAAATACTGTCGAGTCAATTCGTATTCTTCTTTCTTCCTTACCTCACATCAGTAATTCCCCATAGTCTGTCATGCTCCTAAACTTCCCTCATCCCTGTTTCCTGCATCTTACCCTTTAGCCACTGTCATTATCCATTTCTGGGTCGTCTTCTCTTATCCCTTCCATAGAATCCTAATCGGTTTCCCTGATAGCCTCTTCCCCACCAGCCCTAGCACTCAAGAATTCATCTTATCAAAAGCCAACCTAAGAATGGTTTCTTGTTACTTAAGAGAAAAATTTCAAACTCCTTGGGAAGCACATGGCACCCAACTTGCAGAACTCTACCCTGCTGCCTCCACTCCCAACACCTCCATAAACACAGAATTAGTTCAGTGGCCAGTGGCCTCTAGCATACTATGGTCTTTTTTGCCTCCGTGTCATGCTGTTCTCTCTTCCTGGAATACCCTTTTCTACGGACTCTACCTGGTGAATTATCACAAACACCTTTTGGTGTTGAGTTCCACTGGCACCTTGCCTGCAGAGGCTTCCCTTCCTCATCTGCTGCCCTGGCTCTGACCTCTCAGTCCTCACACTAAAGTGATTTGAACAGACCTTGACTCTGCAGTTGCCATCCTATATTCATTTATTTGTGTCTCTCTCCTATTTGATCCTTTATGCCTGAAAGTCAGAGATCCTTCTCTATGAAGCCATAGAAGCTAGCATTGGAAATGAAAGGGTGTGTTAACAGTGCCCAGCTCTCCTGTAAGTTCAGCTAGTGATTCCCTCTCTAGCCCATAGTTCTTTAGGGAGGTAATCATCATTAAACTAGGTTTAGTTAGCAGCATGGACACTTTGGCAGAGAAAAGAGAAAGAGAGATCCTTTATGCTCAGGGTAGAAGAGACGATATGAAGAGGACCATTGGATGCCCTATACAATTATGGTACTTTCTCTGGGTCACCAGACAAATCAGACTTACATTTGGGACTTGTTTGAATCCACCGCCAAAGTTCATCTGTTGGAAACTTAACCCTCAATGCCACAGGGTTGAGAGGTGGCCCTTTAAAAGATGACTAGGTCATGAAGGCTTTGCCAGCATTATTATGGGAGTGGGTTTGTTAGAAAAAGGAGTTGAGCCTCCCTGTCATACTATTTCTTCATCCTCCCCATCCTCCTGTGTGCACAGTCTCTCTCTCTCTCTCTCTCTCTCTCTCTCTCTCTCTCTCACACACACACACACACACACACACACACACACACACACACACATTCTTATCTGTCTGCCTTCCACTGTGGGATGATGTATCAGGAAGGCCCTCATCAGATGTGGGCCCCTTGACCTTGAATTTCCCAGCCTCCAGAAATAAATCTATCCTTTATAATATCCAGTCTCAGGGGGTTTTTGTTATAGAAGCACAAAACAGAGTGAAACAGAATTTGATCCAAAAAACAACCATAGATCGTTGGTTCATACTTTCTTCATGGTATTATCTTCCCTTCTATAAGATAAACTCAAAGCTTCGTTCAGCAAATGATATTTCAAATGCTATAGTAGGTGCAGAGACACAACAGTTTACAAAACAAGATAAAAATCCCTGCTCTCACAATGCCTGTTGTGAGATGATAATTTCTCTTTGTGTTTTAGTTTCCAAAATCTAGTAACCCAAAGTACTTTTCAACATAATAGGTAGTTTAAAATGCAGATCATGTGTTTTAGAAAAAAGATACCTTTCTCTTTTATAATTCCTCCCATCATAACTGTCACTTTATACTATATGTTTTAATGGCATTGTGAATTATCAATTCATTTTCTCAAAGGTTGGTAACAGTAGGAAGAAAATGATATTAAAATTCCCTACACTGTACTTGGGGGTGTAGAAAGAGCATCAGGTCCTGCATTCTAAACAATTAGAGTGAAGAGTTCTCTTTTAGTATTTCTCATTTGGGGAATCCTTTTTTCTTATTTCTGGAAAACTAAAGTCGCCCACTTCTGGGCTTTGTGGTCTTCTCACGGGAGCAGAGCCTTGGCTTCTGCTGTCTTCTAATCTGATTCCAGCCTTCCTGAGATCAACATTCTGCTTTCCTGTGAGCTCACTGCTCTGCACAACCTATCCAGTGTACTTCATGGCCCAGCTTATAAAAACTCTTCATATATTTCCACTCAGCATGGGAAGCATCTGGCATGAGAATGGTCCCCCTTCTTCTTGTGCAGGACATTTTAAAACAGCAAACTGAACTCCTAATATTAATTCCAGCTCATAAATAAAATGTGACTTAGAGTTGCAAGTATCCACTATCTAATAGCCAACATTCTTTCTTTCCTATAGATATTTTTATTCTAATATTCATTATTTGAACCTACATGTAAAGCTATCCATTTAGGTCTCATAAGGAAAAACATGAAACTGTGGATTTAGAAAAACAAATTCTAGATCACCAAAACTGGTTGGTGTTTATGAGTAAAAATTGAGGCAAAATAGAGCAGTGATTAAAAATGCAGCTTTAGACCTTAATGGACTAGAGTTGCCTGTGCATTCTTACTAGGCCTCACTACAGTGATTATATTCCTTTTATATTTACCATAGTTTGGGGAAGTTGAGGTAAAAAAAGCCAGAGATCCTGGGTGAGGGTTGGGGTCAAGTCCTTATTTTGACAGTCCCCAAAGCTCAGCTTAGCTACTCTTTCCATGGGTGATCTGCTTGTTTGGAAAGGTTCATCTTAAATGCTTTTCCAGGAGCCAGAATGTCAATTTCTTAGCTTTTTCATGAGAAAAGTATCCAAAAACTTATTCAGCATAAGACAGTGCCCTGTTCAGAAAATCCTATCCCTATGACACTGTGTCACAGAAGCCAGAGCATGCACAGGTGGTGTCTGGGGTATAAATTCAGTTCAGAGTCAGTAGGTGTTTTGCAGAGACTGGATAAGCTGTTGAGTCTAGAACCATCCCAGAATCCAATAGTCAAACCCTCCCATGTAAGCTCTCAGTGGTCTTAGCATCCTCCTCCTGCATATTGCTGAGACACCCCCTCCCCCAAGTCTTTCTTCTCAAGGTCACCTTATCTGTACTCCACACTCAGCTCTTCCTCTCTGTGATCACAGTCTATCCCTAGACAAGTTCATATGATAACTTACAAGGTTTTCCTTTACCAGGCTGTGATTGTAATTGAGCCTGCCCTCCAAGATCACTTTTTAATTGCATTTTTGATACTTCTAAAATTCTTTACTTATGATTGATTGATTTCTTAGTCCAACTCTATTATTTTGTTAGCTGATTTCTCAGAGGTCAGTTTTATTTTTTCTTCTCTTCAGATTAGGACTTGTGCCCAGTGACTACAACACCCAACAAGAGAATAAAGAATATAAAACAGGGCCTTGTGATCACCAGCCCAGGAGTCTTGAATAGTCTATTTTTGTGCCAAATTTTTGCCTGGGTATTTGCTTTGTAAGTTTGAAGTTTAAATGCCAACCTGTTTTTCTGTGAGCTGTCTGAATTGGTCCTTTGTTTAGCAAGTTCACAAGGTACCCATTAGCGTCTGGATGTGATTAGTTTCTAAGTTAACAGTGATTAAGAGGTAGGGAAAAAAGTAGGGGCCACCAACACAGAATATAAAAGTAAAATAATAACAATAATAGAGTAAGGTGGCGAAATTTAACGCTTGTATTGGACACCAAGTTCTCAAACTGAAAGAACCCAAACAAAATGTTACACTGTTACACAGGCTTGTCTCATGACTAGTCAGAAATAAACATAGACATTGTACACATAACATAAATTAGGATTCACAAGTGACTAATTCCAAATTAGAGAGATTTATTCAGCCTCACATGGTGAGAATGTATCACACATCTTTTCTGGTTCCCAGAGGACAATAAAATAACAGGAAGTCATTATAAAGGTCACTTATGAGAAAATCCCAAACCTCCATTTTACACCTTTGTAAGAAACAACAAAATATATTCCATATAAACTCAGGTAGAAAATAATTCATTCTCTGGTTTAAATGAACATTTTTTTCAAACCACAAAGAATCCTATTTTAAGTTTTTCTTGAGTACTTAGAAAACTTGATTTTCTCTTAATGTGAGAAGATAAAAGATGTACCAGGAAACCCAGGACTGAAATAACCATTATTCTGAGGACAGAGGACAATAGCCTGGTTTACCTTCACCTCCTCTAACTACACTATCCCAATTTCAGACATATCAAATCAAAGTTCATGTCTTTAAGAACACAATCTCCAAATAATAACAGTCTTTTTTAGAAATCAGTAGTGAAAAGACTGTTTCTCCCAGAACTCTCTCTTAGTTTCTTTCTCCATTTATGGTTAGACATTTAATGCTTACTTCTCTGACCTTCTCAGTAATTCTCTTACTTATTAACACTCTACTTGGTTCAGAAAGTGCCTCTCCAGAAGTCAACCATGTGAGGAAGTCAGAATTTTTTTGTTTTTAATTAGCTACTCTTGGGAGTCTTTTGAATGCCCAGGGGTAGAACCCATCCCAGAGATTGTTTTGCTTTACAGAATCACATTGATCTCTAATTTGTTTGGCCTACATAAATCATTAAACCTTCAGAAAATATTCCAAAGGAGTCCCCTTCCTTATTTTGTTGTGTTTTGTTTTTACACATTGTAGAAAGGACCCAAACTCTTTCCGAATACCAATTTATCATGCCATGTTCTTACTTGAAGCTTCAGAGAGCCAGGAAATTCCTGTGAGTACTCTGCTCTTTTTTCTTCTTGTTCATGAGTGCAGAAAGGTATTGTTAAGCCAGATGGACTGGCCTGGTCAAGACCTTCCAAATGGAATGTGCAAATATGGGAACATATTCCAGGATTTCTGTGCTGGTAGCATAGGACCTGATGCATAAGTATTATCAGCCAGAAGTGTCAAGTTTCTCGAGAATCACTGTATTTTCAGCCAATACCCTGGGAGCTTTCTGAGAAGAAAACAGTTCATAAAGCAATTCTCTGTGCAGCAAAAGATTATGTCACTCCCCAGCTTTGAACTCTCTAATGGATTCCCATCACTGTTAGAATAAAATCCAAAACCACATAAAATGGGCCCTTGGCTGCCTCTCCCACTGTGTGCTCACTCCCATTTTCTTCCATCTCTCTCTGTGTTGCCCCTGTGGACTCCTTGACTTTCTAAATGTATTCCTCCCTCAGGACTCTCCCATTTCTTCTTTTCCCTCTTCTGCAGTGACAGATGTTTTATCCTTGTTAGATTACATGTTGGTTTACCTATTATTTTCCTTTAGATTTCATTTCTGGAATTCAAACATCAGATCCAAGGTATTTTCTCTGTTGTTCACTGCCATGTCTTGAGAGCCTGGAATATAGTCAGCATTTAAATATTTCTTCAATGAACAGATAAACTGCAAAGTTATCTAAATACATGAATTGATTTTGAATAATAATAATAATAATAATAATAAGCATCTATTTGTATGTACCACTGTATTCCTACTCCTAACATAGTGACTGGCAGATTATAATCACCACTATGTGCTTCTGCATTGCAAGAGAAAAATAAAACCTACATCACACTAACAGACCATATATTCTATCAACCTGAGACAGCAAACAAACAATACACAAATAATTATACAAGGAATCACCTTGTAATAGCAGGATCCTATGTTACCAGGTAACTGCAGGAACTCCTTCCCATCAGGCGGAACCTCTCAGAGTTGACACTTAAACTGAAGCTGCCAGATAAAAAAGACACAAGACATGCTCAGACCTAGGGCGGCATCATAGACAGACACAGGTGACAGCACAAAGGCTCTAAGGTGAGCACAAATGTGTCAGGCTAGAGAAAGATGGTCAATGTTGGTGTAGAGTAGGAAATTGGTATGAGTTCAGAGAGGAAGGCCTTCAGTCCAGATCCTGCAGAGTTGTAAGCCAGAGAAAAAAAGAATGAAGTTTATAGAAGAATTATTGGATATGAATGCAGGTCTGGAACAATAAAGTGATACGTTGCAGTGATTCAGGAAGGAGATGACAATGGTTGGTTGGGATGAGAATAGCAAAGAGGAAGGAGTGGATTTAGGATAAGCTTTAGAGATGAAATCAGCATTGATAATGATGGAAAGTGGGGAACACAGATGCCATCCAGATTTTAACTTGAACCACTTGGTTGACATGGATGCCACCAAAATAGAAAACTAGGGAAGGAGCAGAGGTTCTGATTTGAGAAGCCCATCAGATGTCCAAGTGCAGATGTCAAGTGGCCTGCTCAATATATGAACGCAAAACTTAGGGAAAATTTTAGGATTAGAGATGTAGATTTGGGCAACCATGGGCAACCAAGCCATAGGATTGACATTCAGAAGCAAAGTATTGAATTAAAATTACCCAAGGAGAAGTCCTGGATAGATGATGTCAGAACTCTGACTTTTCCCCTACAGCATACCAATATTTAAAGTTGTCCAAAAGAGGAAGATTAAATGCATAAGACTGAAAAGCAGTTAACAGTGAATTAAGAGGAAAAACAGCAGCACGGTATCCCAAAAGCAAGAAATAGAAAGTGTCTTAAGGAAAAATGGGCAGTTGCCACGTCTTAAGGAAAGTATCTTAAGGAAATATGGGCAGCTGCTGAGCTAAAGAGAAAGAAGTCTGGTAAGATGAGACTTGTTGGGGCCACATGGGAATTACTGCTGTGTTTGAGAGTAGACCAGTTTCAGCCACATAGTGGGGACCAAGCCTAAATAGAAAGGACTGAAGACAGAATGAGAAGTATGAAAGTGAAATTATTTACTTGAAACAATCATTGCTGTAAAGGGAAGCGCCAAATAAAAGAAATCTGGGATAATATTGGTTTATACAGTTTCACTGTCCACTGGGAATTTCAAAAAGAAGTGAACATTTTCCCATATAAAAGGAAGGGAAGAATTTCTTACCATATGTACAATTAATATTATGATGTTGTATCATAAATTTAAACTTTTCATTGAGGAAAGAAAGCCTGTAAGAAATCATAAATGCAGTTACCAGCTTAGATTTTAGTACAATGTAGAAAAATATAAATACGGAGTTTCTGTATTGACACTCATATAAATCTCTCTCAAATACCATAGTAACTAGGAATTTTGTATGTTCTGAAACGACCAGGTGCCAGGTTGTTCTAAGACTCAAGAAAACAGATCCAGGATCACATGGAGTGCAATTTATTGAGAGCCTTACTGATAGAAGTATTTACTAATAGCAGCAACACCAAGTGGATCCCCACAATTTGAGTCAGGAGGAGGAGCCTATAGATGGGTCAGGACAAAAGTGACTTCATCCTAGATGGAATGTACCTGGTTCATCCTAAGTTACAACAGAGAGTCAGACACATTCTGGCACCAGGATCCCATTGGAATGCTCTACATACCACTTTAATGATTTTATTTCTGGTTTGCTGGGAAATTATGCAAGAAAAACCAGCTAGTGTCACTCTGGAACAATCATAGTAATTATGATTCAAGATGGCTGTAGTCATATCAACTTGAATCCATATCTTCCATAATAGTTATGTAAGTTATTAATAAGAAATAGCATGTATTAACTGGATTAATAAATCCAATCAAAATTTGAAAGTATGGAGTGATAAATCAAGGGGAAATTATGGTAAGAATTTTAAGTTATGCTGTATTCCAGAAAGAGTGTGGGAGAAGGAGAAGGCTTAGATAGATGGCATCAACAGCTTAGGCAGCTTAAAGGAGTTGAAGGATATATATATATATATATATA